GAGGAGTACAGAGAGCAGGGAGAGATCCACACCAGAGCCTCCCTGGAAAAATTACAGAAGCACTGTAACAAGTCTGGCTTTCCTGCATGGGACACTGTGTTGAGGCTCAGATCACCGCAAAAGTAATTACAGTTTGTATTCATCAAAATAAGCATGTTTACATGGCACACATGTACTGTATATATCCCATTTTATTGACCACCAGTTGTTTCTGCCTCTTTCAGGTTTGCAGAGTTTCTGCGCAGTGGCAGTCACGTCACTCAAGAGGAGCTTCAGAATCATGAGAATCAGTACGGGCTTGGTGGGGAATATTACGAAAACGTGCTCTTCAACAGCAGCTCCAGTGACACCCAGTCGCACAGAGGAGAAGCAGAGGACAATAGCGAAGATGAGCTGGATAGTAACAGTCCTCCAACCCTAAATAACGTCCCCAGTCCTGCTGTATATACTGTATATACTCCAGCTGTCTGCCCGTATCCCCCTGTCACCTACACCCCTCAGCCAGAACCCATGGATCCAGAAGACCAGGACTTCTTTTAAAATTGTCCTGTTGTCAAGTTTTGTCATGTTCGTTTTAAAGATACTTTTTGAAACGCTAAACATTTTAGGAAGGAATGACTCGAAGGAACATTAGTAGGTCCATAAGGATTGTAAAAATAATCTTTCTTTGTCATTTGCGTTTAAATGATCTCTTTCAGACAAGAGTGGGCTGCTACTATTATATTTTTTTTTAGCAGGAGTTTGTATTCCCGTACCCAAGTGATGCAGAGCTGGGAATAACACTTTTTTTGTACATACTGTATGTTAATAGTGTGTGTGAATAGATAGTGACTGTGCTGCTCTCAGGTATATCAGATCATCAGGACATCATTGCAGTTTGCTAATACATTTGCCTCAACTGCTCAAGACAATGACTGCTCCACACATAGTCCCACAGCATTTATGTAATTGAAGGAAACGGTGCACTCTAGTGTTGGTTAAAGGAACAGTTCACTTATAAGTGCAAATTGTGTCTGGTTTACTCACGCTCATCTTAATCCAAACCTCTCTGTCTTCCTTTGAACACATAGAGGAAGTTTAGCGGGATCTCCAAATTGCTCTTTATCATACAGTTAAACTAAACGAGGACATACGGTTTCCAAAAGTTTCAAAACTGCACATCTAAGCATCAGCTAAATCACTGAATCACTGTTTTTTTTTTGCCTTCCACTTGATATTTATTAATCATCAAGTTTCTTTAGTGCTTGGGTGTCCAGTCCTGGTCTTGGAGGGCCGACATCCTGCAGATTTTATTTCCAATTTTTACCTACCTGGAAGATTCTAGTAATCCTTAAGACATTGATTACTTTAGTTCAGCTGTGTTTAATTGAGGTTGAAGCCAAAATCAGCAGGACTGGACATCCCTGCTTTAGAGGCTCTGTAGAATTTTCATGTTAGTGTGAACCATCCTTTCAAAATGAATCAACTCATCGTCTATGTTCTGCATCCTCTCATGTGGGTTTGCACATCTACATGCTGGCATTTCATATTCTTTCCTTTTTATTGAACTTTTATCTGAAGAAAGAATGTATGTTTTAAAAAAAAACATTTCATTTGAAGTTTTTACAGCCTTTTATATTGCATTTAATTAAATAAAAAAAAGACAAATGGCTAAATTCTCAACCAGAATATTGTATTGTGTCAACATTTCAAGAACTTTTATTAGCAGAGGTCACTTATACACAAAGCTGCGAGGCACATAATTTCAGACACCATATAGGGCAAATCAATACATTCTGATGGTATTGATTTGCCCTATGGCTACTTGGTTTTACAGATAACTATATTTAACAGAACAGAGCATGGCTTTAACATTTTATTTAATACAGAGTAGATGTTTTATATTTAAATTTGGTTACAAGTAATATGGAAGCATGAATAGCGAAATAACATTTTATACAGAGTGCAATGGCAAGTCCCATGAATATTTTGCTGAAGCACCTCAGCTGTTGGATTATAAGAATGTATCACTCAGAAATATGCAGATTTACTCATAGGCACTGACTCTTCAAGCATTCTGTACAAAGACTTGCAAGCCCTTTGCAACTAATGCATGACATCAACTGTGGCAGTGCAAAGCATATTGATTCTATTGCCTCGGCTAATGTAGAATACCAACATAATATTTTTGGCCCAATGTCAGCTGTCATCTTTTACACCCCATACCATGTCTCTAAATCATAAGGCTATTTCCCAAAGAAGTTCAGTCGATTGTTGATTGTGGTTGTGCTATTGGAGGCAGCTGTTTGGAATGTCCTGGCAATTGAATTGAGTTTTCTACTGGTTCTTTTCTCCCTGTGGATGGAGGCAGTTCTTCCACAGGACGGACAGGATGTGTGTTTTGAGGAACAAATGCACTGGTAGTAGGTCCTTGTGAGAGATATTCTGCCGGACTTATTGTATGGGGTTGTGATGTGTTTTCATCAGCAGGTGGCATCGCTGAAGTTTGCTCATTTGTCTCCTACAAGAGGAGGACACATAAAGGTTAAACATTTGAAATAAATTTCTAAGGTAAAGTACATTTTATTTGTTAAGATGTGTGCTAGAATGAATACAAAAACGTGTATTTTCACCCCAAAATTAAAATACTGAAGCCTATTTTAGGATCACGATGCTTTAAGCTGTGATATTTCCTTAAAAATTCACATTAACTAGATTTTCGTTTTTTTATTTTATTTTGAAATAATATTGAAATATTCTCTATAGGGTTAAGATTAAATGAAATGATTCCTTTTATTTTAATAAAAAATAGAGGCACTATAAACAATTATTACTATGACACAAACACTCACAGAAGTGAGTACACCCCTCACATTTTTGTAAATATTTTATTATATCTTTTCATGTGACAACACTGAAGAAATGGCATTTTCACTTAGGGGTGTACTCACTTTTGTGGCCAGCGGTTTAGACATTAATGGCTGTGTGTTGAGTTGTTTTGAGGGGACAGCAAATTTACACTGTTATACAAGCTGTACACTCACTACTTTACATTGTAGCAAAGTGTCATTTCTTCAGTGTTGTCACATGAAAAGATATAATAAAATATTTACAAAAATGTGAGGGGGTGTACTCACTTCTGCGAGATACTGTAGATGCTTTTTATTTTTATAGACTGAATTTAAGACTAAATGAAATTATACTTCGTAATGTAATACCTTTTCTATTCAAAATAAAGGCAGTACAAACAATAATTACTATGATTCATTAATACTTAATTCAAATATTTCTTTGAATCTTTTAAAATATATATATTCTTAGGGGGTGAAATATGACCTGGACATCTTCTTGAAATGTTTCGTGAGATGCACCAATCAAGCATTTATTTGACTTCAAATATAAACACTATGTGTACTTTACAATGACAAATAAGTAACTGTGCAAAATGCGGGGAAACAAACGACAACAAAAAAGATGTCCTGACTTGAAACATTTGCTCAAAAATGGTAATAAACGACACAAAGCAGCTGAAGCACAGAAGTCTGTTTTAAGAAAGGACAAACAAAACTGACAACAGAAAAGCATTTATTTTGGTAAGAAGTGGGTTGTACAATGGTGTTAGTAAGACTTATGTAAATTATCCAAGAATACATTAAGAATGAAAGAGGAAATGCAATAACAGACTGTGGCAGGACTGCATGCATTTTTGTGTACAAAGTGCAAAGACATATTTTTCCTCACCTTTCCCCTGAGAAAATGACAGCATGAATGTAAAGAGAAAGAGTTAATCATTCAGTAAAAAGGTATAAAATATAATTTGCCATCAGTATGAAGTTTTTCCATATTGGTTTTCACAATAATTACATGCCAAGATGACAAACTAATACAGGCAGAAAATTAGCAGGAAAAAGGTCATGAAATGTTATTAAACAGCAGAAGTGAAACTTTCACCACCTCCTAATGTCCAAATCACAAAGGGTTCCACCCTACCTGCGGGGCTTGACTTTCACCACAGTGGTTGTTCTTTGACAAAGCAACCATATCTCTGATCTGATAGAGGGCGAAAGCGATGGTGACCCAGGGGGAAGCAGACACCACCCAGGCCGGCTTGTTGGCATTTTCTTGCTCTTCCTGATGCCTGGTTTTCTTAGGAGGCGTCTTTGATTCGGGATTTGGCTGAGATGCAGATTGGTTCTGGACTAAGTCAATAGTGGCGATAGGCACAGGGCTGGAGGGAACTGGGATGTTCTCAGCCAACATCGAGCCCTCTGTAAAAGAGCACAGACATAATCAATAAGCCGTCGCAGGTTTTACTCCAGCAAAACAGCAGGAACTTACTTTTATCCTCGTTCTGACCTAACAGCCACTGTATCAGAGAGAAGATAAGTAATGTGACCAGAGAGGCCATACCGAGGCCTCTGAAGGTTTCTGCAGCACCTAAACAGGAAATTTGCAAGATGAAAAAGGCTGATACTGTAAGATGAATGTCATTCACAATGAAAAGAACAATCTAAAAGTTTTCTCATCACCCTTTTGGATATTATCTATATATATTCAGCAAGGCCCAAAAGTCTGAGACATTTCTATAAAATGTTATATATATATATATATATGTATACACAGTAACAGTGTGAAATATAATTTCCGTTTAAAATCACTCATATATTTAAAAATGTAATTTATTTCCTGCAATGGCAAAGCTGAATTTTCAGCATCATTACTCCAGCCTTCAGTGTCACATGATCCTTCAGAAATCATTCTTGTATGCAGATTTTGCTGTTTAATATTTTTGTAGAAACTGTGACATTTTATTCTGGATTCCTTTATGAAAATGAACTTTGATGCATGTTCAATGAACAGAATTTATTTGAAAACAATTTTTTTTTTTGATTAACTTCGTCACTTTGATCAATTGAATGCATCCTTGTTGAATAAAATTATTTATTTGTTTTAAACTTACTTAACCCAAACTTTTAAATCAGTGTATCGAGGTTTCCACGAAAATATTACGTTCATCATTGATAATAAAAATAAATGTTTCTTGAGCAGCAAATCAGCATTAGAATGATTTCTGAAGGATCATTTGACACTGAAGACTGGAGTAATGATGCTGAAAATTCAGCTTTGCCATTGCATAATAAATTACTTAATAAAATATATTCAAACACAAAACAGTTATTTAAAATGGTAATAATATTTTATAGTTGTATTGTTTTTACTGTATTTTTGATCAAATAAGATTTAATGATTTATTAGCATTTAAGTTTAAAAAATAAAACAAACAAAAACAAATGTCATATTTTCATAGACTTTTGGATATAGAATAATGTAGAATTTACCTTTACTTCAAGAGTGATTCTTTGTAAGTGTGTCTAAATATATAACAGCTTAAAAGCATGCATGAGGCACATGTATGGCAAGTCTGTGACGTCACATGGTCTTTGTTGATGTCATACCGAAGAAGTTCACAAAAACTCCTCCTAGCATGGCTCCACAGCCTCTCCCCAGCCCCAGGTGCAGCCCCTGCAGGATCCCCTGAGCCGACGTGCGCAGAGCTGGAGGAACAGCAGCGCTCAAATACGAGATGCATGCCGCCCACACTGATGCATGTGTCAAACCTGCATGACACATTAACATAAACAAACACTTGTGCATCTGCCTGAATGCATAAACATTGACTACTCATGAGTTCCTTGTAATATAGGCCTATGACCACATCAATAAGACAATATTTGCAGTTGGTAAGCAAATATGAATATGTTGAAAATTAAAATGTTAAAAAGCAGCCCTATACAAGTATTACGCAATATGCTTTCATTCTGTTACAAGTGATCATTAAAAGTTAATCAGGAACCGAATGCAAAAACAAAATGGGGGAGAACATAAAAAAAAAATGAGAACATAAAATATTAATAATTAAAGCTGAGAGTCAGCAGTATAACTCATGATATTTAATGTCATAACAGTAAAAGTGAAAATTCAACAAAAATACTTTATAAATTAAATACTATATAGTAATTCCTATTTGTGACCCTGGACCACAAAAGCGGTCTTAAGTCGCTGGGGTATATTTGTAGCAAAAAACATTGTATGCGTCAAAATGATCGATTTTTCATTTATGCCAAAAATCATTAGGATATTAAGTAAACATCATGTTCCATGAAGATATTTTGTAAATGTCCTACTGTAAATATATCAAAACTTCATTTTTGATTAGTAATATGCATGGCTAAGAACTTCATTTGGACAACTTTAAAGGACATTTTCTCAGTATTAAGATTTTTTTGCACCCTCAGATTCCAGATTTTCAAATAGTTGTATCTCGGCCAAATATTGTCCTATCCTAACAAACCATAGATCAGTGGAAAGCTTTATTCCGCTTTCAGATTATTTATAATTCTCACTTTCAAAAAAATGACACTTATGACTGGGTTTGTGGTCCAGGGTCACATTTTCTTATAATTTAGTGAATTTACCTTACAAATGAAAGGTACTTCATCTTATGTGATTATTTGATAACTTATTATTACTTGAACAATTTTATCTTTTGGTTTGCCTATATTATAACAAGAAAATTCTGCCACAATTGAGTAAAATGTGTATATAACAATTCAAATCAGTTGAATTATGTATTAATGAAACAAAATGTTTACCAACTGTAAACAACTAAACTTCGCTCTATGTTGTGCCAAACAACTTCCTTCAATAAGTTCTTTGTCGTCTTGAACTGATCTCACACTGTATTTTCATATTCCTCTAATGTTTCTTTAGAACTTGCATATATAAATGAGCAGACTTAAACGGATAGCAAGCTAACAATATGTTATATAATATCATATTACTCAGTCACAGTTAAAGCAAACAAACTACATGTGAGGTGGGAACATGGTCATCCTGTACAGTGTCAATGGTCAACACAGTCCCAAGATAATAGTGGCTGAAGCAGCTAAACAGACTTTTAAACCTGTTTTAGAAAAATTCAAAGGTCTTGGCATTTTAATAAAACCACTTTTTAAGAGAAAAGAAAGAGTTTACTCTTCTAAGAACTGATGTTGAACTACATATTGTACCATCTAGCCTAACAGTAACATTTCTTTCAGCTTTGAAACAAATGGCACTGCCCTAAACCTATTTCTAAACTGTAACTGTGTGATTGCAACAGCATGTCTGATGTGAAATAAGGTGTCAGATATACTGCAAAAACAGCTGATTCATGTCCTTAGATGATCTCGAACGTCAGCTGTGGTCACTCAAGAGCACAGTCCACCAATCACAACACTTCCTGTTTGATAAGGCCAGTCGGGCGACACAAAAACACCTTATTTCTCACCTTGAAGCACCTCCATGGGTAAAACTATCCATGCATTCTCCAGGTAGGAGATGTACAGATAGCGTGCAGTGTTGCAGGCCAGTCCGATATAAAGGACTCTAAAAAAAAGAAAGCACAATCATGTAATACTGATATGTCATATTTCGTTCATACATATGAAACAATGCTTTTCTGTACAATGAAAATGTCACACTGGGTGTAGCTAAACCAGTTTGGTTTATAAGTAGTGGTCGGCCGATATATCGGCTGATATTTGGTATTTTTCAAATATCGGCATTGGCCGATAAGTTTTTCTGCTTTTATTTAGACGCCACGCCGGACATTTATTTTGATGGCGCTGACAGCGGCAGCACCTGAACACACAGTGCTCACATTCTCCCTCTTGTTTACTGTCGTTGTTAACAGTTCTGTGTCTAATACGGATAGAAGTCGGTCTAATAATCAGATAGAACGGTTAAACAAAGGAATTGTTTAATGTATACAAAAAGTATTATAACGATTGCTTTTATATTATTAGTAATAGAAAGGCAAACATTTATGGAATTCGGAAAAGATAGTTTATTTAGGATTAAATATTCCTTAGAAGCTGGAAGAAGCATATTCTTTGAATTATTCCCCATTACTTAAAAAAGTAATGAGAAATTTGGAAAGATGGAACTCACTACCATTATCATTAATCGGCAGGATTAATAAAAATGTAAAAATGAACGTTCTTCCAAATTTTTATATTTATTTCAGACTCTTCCCATTTCTATCCCACAAAAGTTTTTTTAATAATCTCAATAGCTCAATTAGAAAATGTATTTGGAATAATAAAACTCAGAGGGTTAAACTTAAAACATTACAAATGGCATCTAAAAAAGGTGGATTACAACTTCCAGATTTTATGTCTTATTTTTGGGCAGCACAAATGAGAGCGGTATGGTTTTGGCAGATGAATAGTACTTTATAGCCACCTGCATGGATACAATTGAAAGATATCATGCAGGGGAAAATACCTCTAGATAAGGCTCTGTTCATCCCATTGACTTGTGTTACGGAAGTAGTTAACAACCCATTCATTAGACACACTTGCAAATTGGGGTTTGAGATCAGGAAAAAATATAATTGGCTACTATCATTATATAACAATACTCCTTTTCACTACAATCCATGTTTTCCTGAGGCATTAAGAGATGGGATAACACAATATTGGTATAAAAGGGAATACATCAATGTTTGTAAAGATTTGGGGCAAATGTATTGCATACGTGAATAATTTGGATGTTACATTGACTGAAAATGCTGATGTGATAATGTAACCCTTTCTTGACTTTAATTTCTTTATTTATTATCAGTATTGTTATTTATGTATTTATTTGTATTATTATTCTTTTTTCTTTTTTCTTATTTTACACACCAGCTCAATGCCTCGCAAGAATGTTCATTTAAGTGTTCTGTCTAGTGAGGATGTGATGGGGTGGAAGGGTGATTAGGAAAGAATGTTTACTTGTAAATTGTACTAAGTCTGTAAATTGTTGATGTGAAAATAATAAATATATTGATTAAAAAAAAAAAAGAAAGGCAAACATTATAATACTTTCTCGTTTGCCGTCAGCATTAAGCAAATACGCATTTACATCATTTAAACAAATCTTTGAATGACTAATGAACATTTAATTTCACAAACTTAGTCGAATCCAGCGGTGAGATCTTGTGAAGTGTGCATTTTTATCCAGCATGATCGCGTGTTCTCTGTGTGACGGTCGGTCCGTGTGAAATGAATGCTTTAAACTTGTGATTTCAAATTATGCTGCGCTTTATCCATTTACCCACTGTCATATTCATGTCATTTTCTCTGTGTGCTGTATGTAAAATGAGTGTTACCCTGGCTTTATTTAAAAAATATGATTCCCAATGCACACAAACTTCCCAGAATACTGAAAGCCCTGTTGGTTACAGTGTTTACTTCCTTTTGAATTATATTTTTATTAAATATTTATTTATTTGTGA